ATTTATAAATTATTTTGTCATATCTTGCCCTGTCCGACGTCTCCCTTCACCCATTTCTCTGCTGTCCGTCCCCCAGGGAGTAGGTCACATATAGTTCCTTGTAATCGGTTCCCTCTTTCCAACCCACTCTCCCTTTACCCTCCCAGCATCGCCACTCACATGTCCTGTAGGGATCATCCGCCCTGGGTTCCCTGTATTTACAGTTCCTAATCTTTGTATATATTTTAACTGTACAATTGCGCTTACTGGACCCAAGATAGTGTGAGGGGCTGATTTCCCCATAGACATGAAGACCATCACAGCACTTATGTGTCCTCATAGACAATTTTGAACCTGTGTTCCCTCCTTACCTTCTATGACCTTGAGAACATTTTGTTAATCTCACATTTTTCCTTTACACTACAAACCAATGGGATCTTTTCAACTAGTTTCAGGAGTTGTTTCAGATCTTGTAAATTAGATTTACATGTGATTATGTAAATGATCAGCAGTTAGACCCCAAAAGGTCCTCTGAGAGAGAGCTGAGGCTGTCTGCTCCTTCACAGATTTAACCTCAGAGACCCAGAGGGGCCGTTCGACCCTGTCCTTAAAGGTCACTCGGAGTTGGAATAAACCTGCAGTAGGTCTTTCTGGTGGGACATTCATAAAGTCCATTCACCCTAAAGGCCAGATACTTCATACAAGAATTAACTTCTGGATAATGTCCAGTATGTGGTTAGCAACCTAGTGTGTACTCCCTAAGCTTACTACGTGGAATACAGGACCAAGTGCCAGACAGAGGAATGAAAACAAAAGCGGTGGTCTCCGGCTATACATTAAAATACCGAGGCGGCCGTTGACCATTGTCACTTCAAAAACAGAAGGGTGCAGGGCTTTTGGGGGAGTGGATCAGTTTTATAGTGGTAAAACCTTACTGAATTTGATCTTACTAATAATTTCTGAAATGACTTCAGGAAGGAAGACATCTAAATTTCAACAGATTATGAATCTCAATCACCTGATGTTGCAGTTGAAACGGGCTATGCTAGAAGTCACTCAGACCAAATCTTCATCTAGCACAGTGGTTCTCAGTGGTTCACAGTGGTCACCCAATTCATAACAGCAGCAAAATGACAGTTATGAAGTTCTAGTAGCAACGAAAATAATGTTATGATGGTCGGGGGTCACCACAACATGAGGAACTGTATTAAAGGGTCGCAGCATGAGGAAGGTTGAGAACCACTGATCAAGCAGCTGATTTCCAGCACTGTGGAACTTCTAAAGTAAAACGGGATTTGTGTATTTACTAAGTGTCTCAAGAAGTAAAGCTATGTCCACAGTTCTTTCCTCAGAATGCTTGTGGGATCCTGGGCTAAGACGACACTGCTGAGAAGGTAGGGAAGGGCACGGGAAGGGAGGGAGGCACGCACAATCAGAGGTGCTGGCTACAGCACAGTACACCTGGAGACTACCAACCATGTTTAACCCTCTGTCACCTGTGTGGGAGAGGCATGTAATCTGATTTCTTCCCCAGCCAGTTCCTGTATAGGGGAAACCCTGGCACTGGCAACAAGTATTACCACACCAATTACCAGAGTCCCTACTATGCCCACACACCAGATGTCCACGGCAGAGGGCCCTGTTGTCACTGTGCTTACAACACTGGGCTGCAAACTGAAAGACCAGAGGTCCCGAACCCAGCAGACACACAGTGGGAGGAAGAGTGGTGGTCTGTCTTTGTAAAGATTACAGCCTTGGAAACTCGATGGAGCTGTTCTCTGTGACTTAGAGGGCTGCTCTGAGTCAGAACCAACCGGGTAACGCTGGGCTCTGGGTTCATGTCAGATGCTTTCCAGAATTAAAGTGGTTCTCTCAGCTCACAGAGCAACAAAGCCATGAATCTGATGGGCCCTGTGCAGTTTCATTTCCTGGTTCTCAATTCAAACACACGGAACAATACTTAACTTCAGTTGAAACTCGTTTCCCTTTTATTAAGACACAAGTTATTCTTACATGGTTTGGTACTCAATAAAGGAAAACGGGTTCAAAAAGGTAATTATGTTATCTTCAGTATTTCCAGGTGACTGTTGACAAGCAAGTAGCAATACCAATAAATCCTTGGGAAGCCCGCCTGTAAGAGAAAAAAAAGTTAGTTGGGAAAGAGTAAAGGCAGAGATGTTACTAATCAATAACCTTCTTTAGTGCTTACAGTCAAGGGGGGGCGGGGACAGCACCACCCCTTTATTATTCTTAGGCTTGCCTACTTCCGGCTATGCAAAGAGGGTGTAAGAAGCACTATCAGAGGGAGTGGTCAGTCTGGGTGACCATTCCCCTATAGATAAGAGCACCAGCTCACAAGGAGGAACAGAAATAATGTCCGGGGCCATCCAGGAAGAAGAGCCACCAGCAGAGCATGTTTAGAATCCCTGCCTGAGACGCCATGCCCCACAGAGACTAAAGGGGAGCAAGGAGATCACCTGGGACAGCCAGCAGCAGCAGCTTGGAAGCTCTGAGGCAGAGCAGAAAGTGGGCTTGTTGGCCTGCAGAGATCACAGGGCACGAGGCTGAGGAGCGAGGGCCCCGAGGGAAAGACTGGGTTGCTGGCTGAGGTGAGGGGTTGCTATGGCCCAGGACTGCATCATTACTGTTTTCTGATCCCGACTTGTGCCTTATTAACTTTCCTAATAAACCTCCACGATTGCAAAGCTGTCTGTGAGCTCTGTGTGGTCACTGCAGCAGATCATGGAGCCAGCGGAGAGGAGGAGAGCAGTGGGAGAAGGCGTGCCTGACCTCTGCATTGAGGCAGTCAGCTTGCGCTGGGGTGGAGACAGATTCTTTCTCCCCCTGCACCCAAAAAGGATCAGACATGGCCTCCCAGCCTCCAGCCCACCCACAGGGTACTGGCTTGTGATCTTTTCATGGAAATCACTTATCCTCACAGGGCCATTCTTGTCTGGCCCCCAATGTCTTTTGTTTTAAGGACATAAAATGTCATTATAGGTATAACAAAGATCTTCTGGACTTCTGGGAATAATGAACAAAATAAAAATAAGTCCAAACAATTAGATAACCATTCAGGAGTGCATTTAGTCATGTGAACCATACATCTGAGCTTAAAATAACTAGGAAATCCTGTATTTAGAAGACCTAGTTTTCTCTTAAATCACTGATCACACACATACACACAGCTCCCATTTATTACAAGATGAACATTTGGGGAATGAAGCAACCCCTATTCCAAAGGAAGCTTGAAAAGGCAGAGTCTGGTCCCTATTTGCTCAGTTCCTCTAACCACAAGTAGGAAGGCTGCGTGCAGAGATTCTCGGAATTCTAAATTTTTAAAAATAAGTATTTCAATGGGTATTCACTAGCAATACCCTAACAAGGCTGATTGCCTCTTGGTTTTGTGAGGGAGTTAATATTAGCATCTTAAATAATTTTACTGAAACCTTTAAACGCTAGTTTAAAAGTAAACCTCCTCTCCTAGTCTCAGAAAGCAAACCCCTACACTAAGCCTCATGAACTAAATGTGCACACAGGAAGCCAAGAGTAGTAAGAACGAGCAACTCTGGACCCAGCCTGCCGGGACTCACATGCAGACCTCACCACTAGCTGTGGGCAGTCTGCTTCCAGCACGAAGACAGCCTTGGGACCCTATGGAGGCAGTTCCACGCTGTCCTAAGGGGTTGCTATGAGCTGGGAGGGACTCGATGGCTGGGTTTTGAGAGATGACCTACCTGACAAAGTGTCACAGGTGTCTCATCAATTAGCTGGGAATAATTGTAAACATAGTAACTACCTCACAGGGCTGTTACAAGGATTAAATGCATTAATACTTACCATAATAGAGCTTAAGACAATGCCAGGCATGTAATGAGAGCTACATAAACTATGTAAGTAGTTATTAAAGAAAATATATGAGCTGCTGCTATGTGTTTTGTTTTACAAAAGGGTTTTCTGCATCTTACGTCACTGTCTGTTCTTAACAAGCCTGTGACTGTTTTCATGATTTGTCTTTCTACAGAGAATCCCCAATAACATAAATTTGCTGTTAAAATAGAAAAATTAAAACACTCATGATAAACATCTCTAATTCCATTCCTTAACCTCTGCCAAATCAACAGTACAGGGCACAGAGGGCTTGGGTACTATCGAAAGTGAGGCGCTTTGAGGGGAGGGATATAACTAGAGGAAATATGGCAAAATACCACCTGAAAACCTGGCTGTGGGTGTATGGGTTCAGTGTATTATTCTCTATCGTACTCTTAGTCTGCAACTCAGGAGGCTTTTCTTGTCTCTATACCGTAAGAGGACAATTTAGAAGACATTCCAAGAAAAACCAGCTCCGTACGTTTAACCTCACTGGTACTACATTCATGGCCACGACTCTGACAAAAACATGTAAGGTCTTTCACTGTGTGAGAGCACCAATGACCACACAACCACACTCTTTGTCTTGTTCAGGTGTGTGCTGGTGACCCTGCTTGCTCACCTGTGGGCGTTTACACTTTGTCAAGGCCCAGCTCCTCTGGAGTGGAGATTCCCAGTTCATTTAAAGTTGGTCTAAGTTCCTGGATGACATAGGAGTAGATTTCCTTATGAGGTCCTGCTTTGTCCTGAGGGCAAAGAGAAAATGCACATTTAGCTCTTTGAAAAGCTGTGTCTACTAACAGAAATGAATTTAAATATGTCATCAGATATGCAGAGGCCAATGTAGATGACCCACTGTTAAGTCAGCACACTCATTCAACAAAGAGGGGAGGTTATTTAGGCACCAGTCAAGGCAGGTTCCTGATACACTTTTGAGAATCAGTAATTGCAGGATGAGCAGACCAAATCCAGAAAAACATTTTAAAGTCAAGCTACTGGAATAGAAGGTGATGACAGAATTTTGCAAAGGTAATTAAATGTGCACAGCAGGCTTCAGGAGTAATTAAATTAACACAGGAAGTTTTTAACATTTGCCTCCAATTTGAGGCCCTAACTGAATTACCTCCCAGTGCTGAACTCTTCACTGCCTTACCCACTGGAGATAAGGCAGTGTCACCGCACAGACCTGAGTTTCTTTCACTCGCCCTTTCTTCACGTACAGAGGTGCTTGGAGACAAAGTATTTTGGGACAGGAAGGTTTGGAAGAAAACTCACTAGGGCATACATATAGTTAAACCTGTACTGTCACATGGTTCCTCCAGGGTAACAATGAAAAAAGGCAAATGAACTAAAAAGTGCCAGGCTGCTATTCTGCCTTTAGGATATTCTAGGTCTCAATTTCATGGAAAAAGAAAAAAATTAAAATCCTTACATGCACACCTCATTTTATTGAGATCAGCAGAGACTGCTTTAAACAAAACGAAGGCTGTGACAGCCTACTAGCATCATTTTCCCAACAGCGGGTGCTCACTTTGTGTCTGTCACTTTCAGTCATTCTTTTAGGCTTTTACATCATGTTTATGGCACACCCAAGAGTCCCAAACCATAAAAATTGCCAGCAAATCGATTTGGATTCACAACGACCCTATATACAGCATACAGTTTCCAAGGCTTTGTAGATCTTTACGGGACCAGACAGCCTCATGGAGCAACTCGTGGGTTTGAACTGCTGACCTTGCCATTTGTAATTCAAAGCTCACCTGACAATGCCACCAGAAACCACTTCACTTAATGTCTTCAAATCTCATACAGCAGAAAGCTGAATATCCCTGTGGCTATTCACTGTACATTCTTTTTTTTTTCACTGTACATTCTTAATTAACTCCTTAAAATAAATTCTAAAATGAAATTACTGAGTCAAATGGTATCGTGCACAATTTTTAAGCTCTGTGAGGGTTAATTTTGAAAAAATGCAAAAGCATAGAATATGCAGCTATTCATTGGGTGTGCTTACTTCCAGAACAACGTCAACATTAGCTCTCTCACTGACCTTAACAGCCTCTAGGATGCGAACAGCACTAGCAAAATCGTTTAGGCGTCTGCATGCTCGTAAAGCAGCATCGATGATTTTTGGCTCTGGAACCAGATCATACCCAACGAGTGTGTTCATCCCTGTTAAGTTAGGAAAAGAGAAGCCATGTCAACTTGCTAGACTACCCGAACCTACATGCAAATACCATGTTCACCATCATGGATTCACTTCTCTTCACACAAAGGGCCCTTTCCAACTCACATCTTTAACTCTGGATGCAGAGCAGGAACTGCAGCTGCTTTAAAACGGAGTTGATTGGGAAAGAATCTAAAGCACCCGAGAAATGTGTACGGGCGTTAATGAAGCCCAAGTGAGGGCATTTGGGAGCTATGACAGAGCAAGATTAGTGAACAGACTCAGAGACATTCAAGCAGAAAAACGACTGGGTCTGATTACGTTTGGCTCTGTGCAGAATGACACCATGAAATGTAAGAGTCTCTTAATGGGGAGGCAGAATTGCTCCTCTTTTCATTACTTCTACTCAAGATTACTCAATAAACATTTCTGTGGGTGCAGCAAAACAGCCATTGCATTTTCTGCAGAAGCTGGAACCGGTTGGGTTTCTTGCTTTTATTTATTCTAAAAGATTAAACAAAGGGCACGGGCACCCGTGAACAAAATGTTAGAGTGCAGTCACAGTGACAGAATCTTCGTACGCTTGAAACTAGGAACTAGCCATCAAGAAGGCTTTCACCAGTAGCCATGTTCAATAAGCATTTACAACTTAGGAAAGACAGGTTCCTAGCTTACTTAAGACTGGATATTTATTCGGGGCAAGACAAATCTGAACCAAGAATGAAAACAACAACAACACCTCAAATCACTGCCAAAATGATCATTTATATAAATCATCTGAAAAATATAAAATGGTGAACTCTTGCTCCCTCTGACATCACAGGAACAGGTGACATTTGGCAATGTTGGGCTACATTTTTCTCTGTTAAAAGTTGGGGAGGGGATGCTACTGACCTCTAGTGGGGAGAGGTCAGATACTACCAGACAGCCTAAAACGCAGGGGACAGTCCTCTTTCCCCAAAGTCATTAAACGCTGCCAACAGGAAGCACCTGCAACAGAAGCCACGCACTTCCCCAGTCGGGTGCTGCACCATGAAAGTCAGCTTATGTGACGCAAGTTTTCGAGAACACAGTGATAGACTACCCAGAAATCCCTGTTTCCAACACTGAGAAATACGGCCACGTTCCAGTTACCTTTGCGCAATTCCCAGGCATCGATATCCGGCTTGTTAAAGTATGTCACCCAGCGAGCATCGAACTCCTCGTCTGTCTCATGAGACCCATGGGAGTAGCAGCGAATTGACTGGACAGCTGCGATGAAGAAAACCAAAAACTCAATGTACAATCAGTACTTGTTTTGTGTGATGCATTCAACTGTGAGCCAACTCCATCTAGATACGTCAAAAGGTACAGTGTCTCAGCTCCAGCTCACACACGCACAGGCAGATACAAACACTCCTCTGTGGTCAGACAAGTTCCCTCAAGAACTAGCTGCCACAAAAGACATTTACAGAGGTGTAAATACAGGCCTGTACACATGTAAATACATTAATATATAATGCTAGGAATATAGGCCTATGCACACATATTTGTATGTTAAGCATTAAGGTAGCCGACGACATTGGGCCTCTCCTCAAGTCCTCCCTCAACCCAAGAACACTTCGTTCTAATCACCTGCCATTTTGTGACAATCTGCCAATCTGCCTTCCTGACATGATTGCTGACAACAAAATGGGTACATAAGCAAATGTGGTGAAGAAAGTGGATAGTGTCCAGCTATTACCAGATATAGCATCTGGGGTCTTAAAGGCTTGAAGATAAACAAGCAGCCATCTAGCTGAGAAGCAACAAAGTCCACATGGAAGAAGC